CCTTCGCACGAGACGTGCAGGTCGGTGGACAGCATGTAGCCGGTATCGCAGACGGGGCAGATCTTCGCTTGGCCGGGCATCTTGTTCGAATTGCGTAGCTACTGCTCTCGAAAAATCTGAAGAAAAAAGGGGAGCCGAGCACAGGTCCGTCCTCCCCTTTTATACGGACCTAAGTGGGGCCCACGTGACGTGGGCGTAGACTATTGGCTCTTCAGAATGCGCAAGCGCGCGCGGGGGTACCCATCTGCGATAGCCTTAGAGGGCGGAGCTTACACGAAATAGAACATTGATTTCGTTCAAAGCTCCTCCTTATGTTCTCTGATTGGTCCAGGTAAAATAAACTACAAGCAGACACTGCGCAGCAAATTGACGTTCTGTTCTCTGATTGGCCCGGCTAAAAATCTGCCAGTGAAATCCATCTCAATGGGAGAAATCCCAGACGGAGCAGAGAAGGAAACTAGAATTGAACGGAGCTGCGTAGGAGGGTAAGAGCCAGGCTAGTTAATATTGAATAATATTATTAATTAGATCAGTTCAGTAATTATTTTGACCATTAACCCACAGCTCCTCCCTGGAACCAGTAACGGTTTAACCGTTACTGGTTTCCCCAAACAAATCTCAAAATAAACTGAAATACTGAAAACTGAAACCAAATATCAAAAACAAACACCATGTCTGAGACAAATCTACCACTTGTCACCATACTGAAAACACCATCCCTGTGAAGCTGCGTCATCCAGTGAAATTATATTTATTAAGCGTGTTTCAACACACATATTACAAAGTGGATCACAACAAAACAAACAAAAATTAAAACTGAACAAACAACACTGATCAAAAGAAAGTTGAAAAATATAAGTTTTTAAAGTATACCACCAAGTCCAGGTCTCATACAGAGGAAGAAAGGAGCTGTTCATTTGACCTTTAATGTAAAAGTTGTTTGAAATTTGCTGATGCTCTAAAAGCATAAATAATCTCAAGTTCAGAGCATCATACAATACAACTCCATTTAACAATGGTTCTTAGATTATAAAAACAATGGTGAAGCAGACATATTTGACAGGAGAGTCCAGTGAAAAAAGGTTGAGTCCAAGATTCCTAACAGAAGTCCTGGTAAATTTAGCTGGTGAACCAAAGTTTTTCACTATCATGGGCACAAACAAAGACCTCAATTTTCTGTTCATTAAGTTGGAAAACGTTCTCAGCCATCCAACCTTTAATGGAGTTGAATCCCATTTGAAACGTCTGTTGGGATGTTTTCATCAGTATGGACTGGAAATCAGGTTAGAGGTAAAAGAAAGGTGGACAGAGGAACTTGTTGGAGCTGTAACATGTTGCACCTTCGTTGTCCCAACATCATGTCCAAGCCTCTGTAATAAAATATTAATATCAGCTTTGTTTATAAAGCACGTTGGGAAACCAAAGGACCAAAGTTGTGGCTGGGATGAGGATCAGCACCTCCAAATCTGAGTCCTTGGTCCTCAGTCGGAAACAGATGTAATGCTGTCTCTGGGTTAGGGGTGGGAGCAGTTGGGTTTTTGTTCGTGAGTAAGGGAAGAATACAGACTGACAGACGGATCGGTGCAGCTTCTGCAGTTTTGTGGACTCTGTACCGATGTGTTGTAGTGAAGAGGGAGGTGAGAGGGGTTTGTAATGAAATGTTATGAGGATGTTATGAGTCAAGGTCTAAGGCAGGGGTGTCAAACTCCAGTCCTCGAGGGCCGCTATCCTGCATGTTTTAGAGGTTTTCTTGCTCCAACACACCAGATTTTGATCGCTGGGTGATTAACAGGCTTCTGCCCAATTTGAAGAGTTAATTCAATCACTGAATCAGGTGTGTTGGAGCTGGAAAACCTCTAAAACATGCAGGATAGCGGCCCTCGAGGACTGGAGTTTGACACCCCTGGTCTAAGGTGACCAGTAAAACTGGAGCCCAGGTGTTTGTAGCAAACAGATGTAAAACTGTTGCTCCTTGTAACACACCTGCACCCTAAAAGCAGGTGTGTTACCTCTTCATGAAGAGGGTGGAGGTGTGTGGTGGGGGATGGGGAGAAAATCAATGACTGAGGGAGCAGCACACTAGACACCCAGGCTGGGTTGGCCAATCCCCTCCCATGGGCCACTGGCCCCGCCCCCAGCCAGCCCAACCCCCCAGCTCATGAGATCCGCAGCCCACCAGCGCACCAAAGCCCCCCACCCAGAGTCAGGAACCAGGGTACAAACCAGCCCAGAGTCCGGCAACCCGCCCGCCAGGACTCAAGCCCCCCGGCCCCACCAGGACTACAGCCCAGGGGCGGCACGACCCATGAACTCTAAGCCCACCACGAACCCACCCCAGCACAGCCAGGCCACCTCGCTACAGACCACCTGAGAGCCTGCATGCACCCCCCAGAAGACATCCCTCAGAACCACCAAGATGCCCCCAGGGCAAGAGCCCCCCACCCAGGAACCCCCA